TATATATATATAAATATATAACCAGTTAACATATATATATATACATATAATAATATGATAATAAAACAATATAATAATATATATACATATATATATATATATATATAAATATATATATATATATATAAATATATATACATTTATATATATAATAATGTATATATATATATACCTGCATTGCTTTCCCATGGGATTTGTAGTACGCAGAACTAGTACCCTCTATATCAATGGCAGTATGCCGAGGTGCGGAGCGGGCCCAGGCCAACAACAAAAGAAGATAAATTATGCTCACATCACCATAATTACATGCATATCATGTCGCAAAAAAATGTAGCAGATATGTGTTTACGCTTTGAGTACACAGCTATCGCTGTGATATATGTATATAATCACACTCTAACCCACAAACACACACACACACATATTTATATATACGTATATATATATATATATATATGTATATATGTATATATATATATATATATATATATATATATATATATATCTATCTATACATATATATACTATATATATATATATTGTAGATATATATATATATATATATATATCACCGTAGATATATATATATATATATATATTTATATCACTGTAGATATACAACAATTTTCTCTTGCACATACGTGACGATGGGCGAGTCGTGCCACGTGGTATCTCCAGTCACTGCGCACGTGCTCCTCCGTTGCAGCAGATCACGGGCGGTCATGTCTTTGAACAACTGAATGGTTTCGGTCTGATACCCCAGATACGCTCCAAACGCTCTCGCTAGCACGCTCTTTCCTGGGATGGACAAATAGCCGCGTGTATGTGCGCGCAGGTGAGCATGCGATGAAAATGCACGTCAGGTATATAGGTGCATGTGTGGGTGACCGCTGAACACAGGCTTATACTTTTTGCGCTTTAATGCCTTTGACAGCAGAGTAGTTTCGGTACAATGTTCCAGATACGCTTCGAATGCCCATGCGAATACGCTCATTCTGGCTAGGACGGTGTGTGTGAGTATGTGACAGATACACTCAAGCGGGCACTTTGTCGTGTCTTTTCAATTGTCATCTAGTACTAATATAAACTTCAAATACGCTCCGGATGCACTACCTAGCACGCTCGTCCCTGGGATAAATAAACGTGTGTGTGTGTGTGTGTGTGAGTGTGATTACGTAATAAATATGTGAAAGACGGGAGTACGATCTAGTCGTATGGCTGGCCTCAGAACACCCCAATATTGTAAATAGTGTACTGCCAAGTCTTCAACTAAACAACCCGAAATGTGCTGAAATATCCTAGCTAGCTTGTATCTTCTCCCGGGTGGTAGAAAGATGCGTGTCTTCGACCAACGACTGTGATGTGGGTACTATAAGTGAATTGGACACGTGTGTACACAGAGGCGTGTAGCCTAATTGCACAGGAGTGAAAAGCAAGCATAGAGCTCTCGCCCAGTAGAGGGTCTATCACTCTATTTGGCAGCCCTGAGGCAGTTCTGTACAACGCGGGTGTGGCGATGAACGTACCATCATGCTCTACTGCACGCGTCAATAGGTCTGGAAACCCTAACCCAACCCCATACACACACACGTAAGTGGCTGTTTACCTGCCCTAAACTCGCAAAATCACACAATAAAATAGGCTATTTGAGAACATTCGAATAATTCTATTGCTATTTGAGTAAGATGCCACAAGCTTTAGCATCAGCTGAGTACGAATTTACCTTCGCCCTTGCCGCCTACTAAACAGAGATCCCTGCCCAGAGAGTGGTCAACCACCATATCCGACAGCACCTGTACGTGTGCGGGGGTGGCGATGAACGTGTCTCCGAAGTTCGGGAAACTGTCTCCGACATTTGGTACTGCGAGCGCTGGAGTTTCCATTGACTTCAAGTTGGGTCCGACAGGTACCACCAATGACACTGTTTGATAGGAAATGATAGTTAGGACAGCTTTGTGAATATACCCATGAAAAATTAAATTGCAGTATTATTGAGCATACATATAAAATATGATATGCGCATAAAAAAAGTATGGGGAGTGCAACAAGGGTGTAGCGACATGTTAAGTTAAGACCTAGCCAGCGCGTGCTCAATTACTCGATTGGCATATGAAACAGTCTAAATCAAGAAACCGAGATGCAGGGCTGTACAGTCTGTGTATGTCAACACATTAGTGTCAGCAGTGCGTTGAGTTCGATGCGTGATATTTTGACTTATGCAACGCTATATATATATATATATAATATATATATATATATATATANATATATAATATATATAATATATATA